CGTCATTGTTGTTTGGCGGGTCCGGGCTGGGGATTCGAACCCGCCACCTTAGGTGTACGTGGCTGGCGCCTTAGCCAGTTGAGCTATAGGTGCCGAGCCGGGAACTTACAATTTAAGTAAGTTTCTACCCCACACCTGCTCACTCACAGACCCTGGGGGGAAGCCCAGTGACCTGTATTTTAACGAACTCTCCAGGTGATTCCCATGCAAGCTCAAGTTTGAGAGTTACTGTTCTAAAATATACAGCAAAGGGGTAAAAGTGCCTACCTGATGTGGGAAGTGGAGAGCTCACTGTGACCCTTCCACCCCACTCTAGTACCTCAGGACTCAGTCCTGGAACCATAGCAGGAAAGCAAGCGGCACACTCCGAGATGCAGGGTGTGGGGGACACGCTCACTGCGGATCTACAATTTGCCAGTCACTGCTTTTACACATATGGTCCCATTTAATCCTTAATGTGTGAGGCTGTTACTTTCTTACCAGATGAAAAAACCACACTCAGGGAGGTAATTTGCCTAAGGACACAGATGCTACGTAATGGATGGGATTTGAGCCCTAAGCTAAGTCACGTATCTTTTTCATCCAAGTATGATGACTCATATGTAAGGGTCATTAGTGGTAAATCCATGTATGCAATGCAAAAGGAATCCCACGTGACTGTGTATCACTGCTCTGTAGACGTTACACACATCACACCAGTGTGTGTGTGTGACCAAGGCGCGGCATCTTGCACTTTAATCTCAATCTTTTCATTCTGGGGAAGCAGCAGCTAATAGTATTTTTTTCTTTTGTTTTTTTCAGACGGAGTCTCTGTCGTCCAGCCCACTGGCATCATCTTAGCTCACAGCAATCTCAGACCTCCTGGGCTCAAGTGATTCTTGATTCTCAAGCGAGGCTCCTGAGTAGCTGGGATTACAGGCATGTGCTACCATGACCAGTTAGTTTTTCTATGTTTTTAGAGAGAAGGGGTCTTCCTCTTGTTCAGGCTGATCTCCAACTCCTGGCCTCAAGCAATCCTCCCACCTCAGACTACCAAAGTGCTAGAACTACAGGTATAAGCCACTGCACCTAGCCCAGCAGCTGACAATTGAATGTTGCATGGTGGGTTTAAATCTGGGTTCAGGTCCTCGTTCCACATTTAATTAGAAGCAAATTGCCTAAGTTTGCTGGGCCTGTTTCCTTTACTCTTTGACTATCATTTTTATCCCCCATCAAAGGAGTTAGAAATTCAACCCAGCTGATCACCTGCCCCAGATCCAGAGCACAGCCAATTGGCCTCCTAGGTCAGTTGAAGGATGAAGACCCTCTACCAATGCAGGCCACTGGCATCTTCCCCGAGGACTCCCAGCCACGTGCCATACCCTATAGAAATCATGTGCGAACCCTTTAACCATTAAGAATTAGCATCTAAACACCTTTTTAGAGCTCAGCGCCTGTAGCACAGTGGTTAAGGTGCCAGTCACGTACACACAGCGCGGCCTGGGCCAGCTGAACACCTGCAACAACAAAAAAATAGCCAGGCGTTGTGGCCGGTGCCTGTAGTCCTAGCTACTGGGAGGCTGAGGCAAGAGAATCACTTAAGCCCAAGAGTTTAAGGTTGCTGTGAGCTGTGGCGTCACGGCACTCTACCAAGGGCAACAAAGTGAGACTGTCTCAAAAAAAAAAAAAAAAAGTAAATAAAAAATAAACACCTTTTGGGCGGCGCCTGTGGCTCAAAGGAGTAGGGCACTGGCCCCATATACCAGAGGTGACAGGTTCAAACCTGGTCCAGGCTAAAAAAAAAAAATCCTGCAACCCCTCCCCCCACCTTTTTAGCATGTTAATCAGAATATCTTGTGGCATCCAGCCCCATCTTAGTCTTCTAATTCTAGAATTTGTAGAATTGTTGAACCAAGTAAAATGAAGAAACTCTGTCAGCTCCCAATTAGCTGCACCACTGGACAGGAACAGTGACGTGGCAGATTAAAAAATAAAATTGGTTCTGTTTGACTTTGGAATGTACTGATTTTTTTTTCAGTTGATTAACTTTTCTAATTATATTTTGCACAGTCTAATATCATCGGGCATTTGTATTCCCTGAGCACATGACATCTGACACTGAGAGCTGGGAGATGCAGCAGTCCCAAAGCGAGCTGGTCTCAGGGAACGACCAGGCTGTGACAGACTCACACGTGGATAATGAACAGAGAACTCGCCACAGAGAACTCTGCAAATATGAAATCACAAGCCAAGAAGGCAAAACAGCAATTCTCTACCGGCACGTGGACAGGGAGTAAATCAGTTTATCAACATTCTAAGGAGGATGAACTTTTTGAGAAAAATCTTTAATCTTAATGGAATTTGATGAGGGAATCAGGATGCACTGAGGGCCAATGAATTATTGGGTAATCTTTCAAATGAGAAAACCTCAAGCAATAACACCAAAGCGTTTTAAAAGAGCATTTAAAATGAATTTTATTGTTTGATTTTTACAAGTAGTCTTTAGAGGCTTCAAACAAGAACTCGTTTGCAAAACTCTAATAAATAGCTTGCCCCAAGTCCCCAAACAAAATGTAAAACAAAAGGAAAACCAAATGCAGGGTAAGCAAGACTTCAGAATGCTTGGACCTTAGCAGTACGTCTCATTTACAAAGAGATACCAGGCAGTGTACAATCGCCTTCACACACGTCAGAGAGAAAGAGGCAATCGAAATGTTTACAAAGCACTCCGAAATCTTCCTATTTCCATGATGGAAATGTCACCAGAAAAAAAAAATTCCCATGGAGAAATCACAATCATGAATGAAACTAGCATAAAAATCTGGTAATGGGCGTGAGGGGGGAGAGAGGAAGGAAAGGAGATTATTCGGGGCAGGGAACTTCTGAGCAGATGCCACCAGATTGCCAAATGTTCCCTTAGACCAGAGCTGCCGTTAAAGGGGCAGAGGGGTCAATTATGTGACAATTATGAAGGCAAGAAACAGGAGGGTCTCCTTAGGTCAGTCAACACTGGTCAGCCCCATCTCTGTGCTCTACAGTAGTGAGGGCCCCAGGGGCCCAAAGCAGCCTGCATCACTGAGACAGGAAAAACAGCACATCAATAATTTCTGCAGCAGAATCCTTTGGATGGCCATGAAAGGATGCAGAAAACGCCGTGCTCAAATTTCACACTGGGACATGCAGATGAAGCCCATTCTATTCTCACAGTCATTGCTCCTAACAAGCAAGGATTAAAATTCACAATCAAACATTCACTGCTAGCTTGTCCTAGTTAAAAATACCAATGAAATCTTGCTTTGGAGAGAAGGATTTATTAATTAATATAGTCATTTAGAGCAAGCTTAAAAAAAACTTTGCCACAGTTTTAGCTTTAGAAATCAAAAACTATATATAGTTTTGAAGAAAATGCATTAAAAATGTATATGAAGTAATAAGGTTTTGGGTTGGGGGAATTCTGAAACCACTTAATGTTTAGAGTCAGGAAGCTATAGAGAGCTTGATTCCAACCTATTGGGGCTCACGTAAGCCAAACGAAAAGAGCCCTAACTCTGAGCAGCACACCTGAGATCATCGTCTTTTGGGAAAGGAAGGAAGCAGGAAGTGACCTCACGGTGCACAATTGAAAAGGGGTGTGGCTCCCAGGCAGGCTCTCCCTCTGGTCTACCTGACTTGCTGATAAATGACCCCAATCCTGCCACCCTCTGGAAGACAGGTACAGACAGCAAGAGCTCATGCACAAGGAACGAAGGCATTTTCTCCAAGCAACTCCCTCTCCAGGCTTCAGGGAAGAAGGTAAGGAAATAGCCCTCTTCACTCCCCAAATAAGTTTTTTTTGAAAAAAAAAAAAATTTGTTTTCCTAGGAACAATGACATTCATCAGGATAACAAGGGAACGCTTGGGTTACCTGAAATAGATAAGAAAGCTGATGGAAATAGAGGCAGCTGGACCAGGGGGACACCCTGGTCCTAGGCCCAGTTTCTTCTTAAATACATAAACAGATAAAGATATTGTGCAAAAAAATAAAGACATTCACATTTTAGCAGTTAAACTTTTATTTTACTTTTTAAAATTTTTATTTACTTTTTTGTTTCTCTTTTCTACAAAAGGCAGATAATGATTGTTGATCTGCAACTGGTGTGCACTCCCTGAAAGGGGGGCAGGGGAGGGAGCCGGGGAGGCGCTCTGAGAAGGCTTTCCCTGGCCTGGGGAAGGAGCTCCCCTGCACTCACAGAGAACGCACCCGGGCCCTGCTCCTGCCCGCCTCAGCCTTCCCTAGCTCATGTCTATGGTGTTGAAGACCCACTCTGTGAACTTCTTCAGCTTGTCCGAGGCATTCTGGGATTCCTCCTGCAGCCTCAGGTTGTCCTCTCGCAGGTGCTGAACTTCTGCCTGAAGATGGGCTTTGTCTTCTTTTTCCTGGGAGGTAGAGCAAAGTAGGAAGGAACTAAGAGAGGTAGCCCCAACTCGCCCAGCTCCTAGGGACAGTGGCTCTGGATCTGTTCCCATCATCACCCATTTCTCCCCTTCATTCCACCCACCAGCCTAGCATTAGGTGCTAAGACACTTACTCTAACAGGATGTCTAACTTTCTGGCATCTCTGTACCACACCGACATCACATACATAAACACTAACAAAAGCTGATGACCACACACACACACACACAAAAGGTCCGTGCATAACTTTCAGGATATCTGCCACCATAAAAGAGCAGAACAGTCCTCACATAATCGGCCTGTGGCCTGCAGTCTGGACACCCTGCTACAGGCTAGGCCTTGGAAACAGGCTTACAGGGAGACTCACCTCTACAGGATTCACTTGGGATGTGAGGACACAAACGTGTATTTTAAAGTCTTAATTAACATGGACTGTCTTAAATTTTTGGCAATGGACTTGGGGGCTATTGTCTTGGGACAGTCAAAGCCACCCAAGAAACAATATTCAGTTCTCTTGGTGTGTAAGCCCAAGTGAAACCCGGGAGTCTGGGCTGCTGGGGAGGGCTGGGAAGGCTGGGAGAGGGCCCAGACAGAGCTTCCACCAAAGGAACAATTTTCCTGTACATATGACAACAGAGGCCTTCAGTGCTCTGTGTTCTGGGGGGAACTATGCTCCCTGCGTCCCCTGAACATGTGCATACACAGGAAAAATGCCCACATCCTATTCCGCTAACACAACCTAAAAAAGGCTCTCACAGTTCAAGGGCAGTCTGTGTGGACCTGGCAACTGGGTTTGAGAATATGTGGTTTACCTTCTTCAAATCTTCACGAAGCATCTTCAGCATACCTTCCAGCTGGTCCACTTTAGAAGCCAGAGTAGGAGAGGAATCTTTACTGCTGGGAACAAAAACCCAAATCATGTTTGCAGGAGAACCCACGGCTCTGTGTGTGTGTGTTAAATCTGGGGAGGCTGTATTCGTAAAATGGTTTTCAATGTCCAATTACTCAGCATGGGGACCCAATGTACATTTTCATTTTAAAAAAGAAAATGGTAATCTTAACAAAAGGTCATACAAGCTTCAACTACAGCCAATCAATAGCTGCTTTTGTCACAGATGCTGTACCCTCACAACAGAAGAACAAAGGACAACAGTGAAAACGATCTCTTTGGCAGCATAAGAGGTACTTTCCGCAGACACAACTATCAAACAGCAAGATGCATCCTCAGGGAGGTGTTGGGCTCTCCTGGGTGGGCTTTAAGAGACAAGAGCTACTCCTGTGCATGTGTGCGTATGAGGGAAGTGTGTGTCACCTTGGGGTGACAGCTCAAGCAGTCTCTGGTTCTCAAGAAAATAACCTTAGCCACCTGCACAGTTGTCGCTAGCTAAATAATTGTGCCTACATCTTAAACATAAGTCTAAATACCTTAAAATGTTTAAAAAACAAGACTACATGTCTCAAAAGCTTGTCAGTCAAAGCTCAACGTCTTAAATTATGTGCTATTTCGACAAGCAAACAATTTTCTTCTCTTTTTTTTCCACGATTAAGCGCCAATAATGCCATGCTCATGGAGTACCAAGAGAAGTGTGAGCCGGGATGACAGGCCAGCCACTAGCCCAGCCGAGGACACTGCGGGGCACGCTCCCGCCCGCAGGGCCCCACAGTCTCGTGGGTTAGTGCCTCTGGCTCCTTTTCTCCCTACACGCTCCTCTACCTGAATTCAACCTGCTGCAAGTTTCCTGAGTGATTTCTAGCCAAGTCTTTCAAGCAAGGAGTCACACAACCAAGAATCTAAAGTCCTCTCCTGGGAAACCATGCGGTGGTTTCTTTCCAGAGACCAAAAGGAAGAAGTTAAGTGACTCTGGAATTTTCTGGATCTTGGAACAAAAGGTATTATTTACTTTAAAAATCAAAGTTAAGTTAGAGTTCTTGACCTAAAATGAACTGCACTAACGTCTTCTGCTGATTCTGAGTCTACAACAGGCCCCAAATGCAAAACTCACGGTGGTGTGGGGTGTCAGGAGGCTGCAGACAGAGGGAATGGTAATGACCGAGACCAGGGTGACCACTCAAAAGCTGACAGTGAATGAATTTTTAAAAAGTCCTCTGCAATCCACAACAGCACTGTAAGGCACAACAAGCTGGTCATGTTCTGCACAGGCTCAAGGCCAAAGATGAGGTGAACAGGGGTGCTGCTAGACGGACTCAGCCCCGTGGGGGCCGAGAGCAGCGGTGTCCTTCCCAAAGCCACTGTGGGCTACCAGTTCTCAGCAGCTTATCTTCATGTCTAAAGATTCTTCAAAATGCATTCTGTGTCTGTAAGTGCACCGGTAATACTTAAAAAGTGTATGTCACTCCATTTCATTGTTCTGTGTGGACTGAACAAAGCAAAGAGCCGACCTTCACCCTCATCTCCTGTTTCTGTAAGATCCTTTCTCAGGAAAACCGTCTTGGCTCATTCAGACTTCTCTTTGTTGGAACCCCCCCTAAGAATGCACATTTTGGGCTCTCTTCTGACTCTCTGGATTTTTTAAAAGTTCTCAGCAGCCTTCCTTGCTCCAGCTGTTCCAGTGACGAGAAGAGTGTGGCACTGATCTGTTACATCCTTGACAAACCATCCACTGCTCTCCTGCCTCCCTGGCCAAGAGCACCTCACTTCCCTGCAGACTGGGTCAGGCGTCCTCCAGCACAAGCCCTACGGGGTGCCTGCATGACCACCAGCAACTTTACTTTCCCCGTATTTGTCTATATCTGATCATATTTTATAGATACCTGGATTTTTTTTTGAGACAGACTGTCATTATTCTGTCACCCTAGTAGCCAGGGCATCATTATAGCTTGCAACAACTTTAAATTCTTGGGCTTAAGAGATCTTCTTGCCTCAGCCTCCTGAGTAACTAGGCCTACAGATGCCCACCACCATGCCAGGGTGATACCTGGATACTTAATCAGCCTCGGAAGGTTTTAAGGGAAGACTTGTCAAATTAATGAAATTATTCTGCACCAGACAGTGCTTGCTAAGTGTCCCATGGCTGCTGACTAGTATGTTTTAATAGACGGGAGTATCACACATTAATTCAACAACCTCACTATTGGAAACTAAGGAGAAAACAGAAAAACTGGTATCTGCATGGTTACACAGAACTCAAAGTCCACGCTCTTAATCCAGAAGAAACACCCTGGATGTGAGTTACTGCTTAACTAGCCTGCGATCCAGCTTTCTAACATCCAGACCTGAAGTGATCAACAGGGAGCTGCCTAAGACTTAGCAGGCACGTTCCAAGCATGACCATCGATGACAGCCAGGAAGAGACCAGAAACCAGACTCTAGGACGGAACAGTGCAGGAGCCCAGGAGACCTAGTGCAATGATTTCTCTTACCTGACCTAATAAGCCCCAGGGCATATTTATTAGGGGTTTAAATACTACTGAATACTCATAAATATGACCTTGTAAGCCATCAGGAGTAGTTTAATTATGTTTGAAGTATTTCTCTAATAAAATGTGAAGTGTCTGGCACTGCTGCAACAAGCTTCACTCAGCTAATCCATGTGGCTTCCATCTCCCTTCCCCTACATCTACCGTCACTGGCAAGGGTGACACTTGGTGCCACAAATAAGGTGACCAACCTGCTGTAAGACTTCATCTGGGCCAGAGCCTGGGCCTCGAGCTGATCGCTGTTGGATGCAGCACTCAAGGGACGATGGTTTTCATCACTAGCAGCAAAAAATGAGGCTCTCTGGACTAGAAGGGAGATAAGAAAACAGTCAGTATTTTGGAGTCCCATCTCTGGGCCTTGTCTATCAAAGTCCACAAATGGTCTACACTGACGGTCAAGTCTAACCCATGTGCGGGGATGCACTGGGAATCCCGGCTCCCAACCTTCACAGGGGAAGTAGTACCATTTCACTGCCTTAGCCACGTGTGAAAGAGGATTGTAGCATTGTGGCTTCCCCTCATAAAATGGCTGTGAATCAATTTCTAGTACCCCTCCTGATCAAAGCAGCATTCTCTTAACTCTTTCCCTGGAAACAGGCCTTGTGCCAATTTCCAGACCAAGGCTCAGCAGTGATAGCAATGCATTAAAGAGCTAGTACTATGCTTCCTACAACTCCCTGATGAATGTGTTCCACGAGATGCCTGGCCAACTCTAGCGGGCTCTAACCTAAGTCCGTGCCACCTATGTTTCCAAATATACCACCTTATAATTTAAACCAAGCAAAAAAAAATCAAAGGTTTAAAAATTTCTCCCATTAAAGAAACTAAACGCCTGCCATTTTATATGAAGATGATTAACCAGCAAAGTGAAAGTTAGCACTGGGGAACTTCGATCAGCCAAATACACCTGAAGAAGGCGGGAGGACCCATGCTGCCTGCTCCACGCCACCTGCCCGACTAGGGCGTTCTGTGGCCTGTCTAGTAACATTCCTGACTGAACCTGACTGAACAGCAACCTTCAATTCTTCCAAGTAAGAGTAAAACCAAAAAATAATCAATCACCTGCGATCCTAATTTTATAAAAAACATTTCAGAAGGATCTTAGAAAAAAGTCTTTGCTCAAAAAAGGACATTTGAAAACTGATGACGGTCCATATACTGCATTTGAAGTTTCTGATTTCAGCAGAACCAGTCTGAGGACAGGCACTTCAGCCCCACCCATCTGAAGTGAGCACACAGCTGGCAGGTTGGGGAAGGGATCACCAGTCAGATAAAGCACTACCCTGCACTGAGAGCCGAGTGAGAAGGGCAAGCAAAGCACCCAGCAATGTCAGGACTGGGGCCGGCCGGCAGGACAAGGCCCCTGCTGGATCCGCCTGTGTGTTTACCAGCAACATCTTAACTATGGGAGCAAAGACCTTGCTGGACACGTGTTCTTCCCTATGCAGTGACAGCAGCTGGGATTCCTCTGCCCTTCTCATATAGGAAGGAGATCAGACACGCATGTCATGAATTCCTGTGTAGAGGAAACTCCGGTCACACTGGATTAAATAAAACAAGTGCCTAAGTGACCAACTTAGGGTCTGGCTCCTCCTGAGTGCTCAGTAACTGTTAGTTCTGCTGTTTTCTGGCACACTGGCAAAATGCTTATGTTGTCAATGTGTCCAGACTCGATCGTGCCACTAGTGCACTCCAGGGAGGCCCCACGGGATCCTGCTGCTGCTTGGACCTATGGCGGACTCACCCTCATAGGCTTTGGCAGCGTCTACCAGGTTGGACCAATCTAGATCCGCAGCAGTGTCAGGCAGGGGCATCAGGCCGGGGTCCGGCATGGGCTGCCTTCGGGTCTCCTGGACATCAGTGAGAGAGCTGTCCGAGGCTGAGAATTCTCCTGTTGGAAGGAACAAGTGATAAGATACTTCTCACGCCCAAAGGAGCACCCCTTGGAAACTTGCCTGATTTCCTATCACCACAACTCATGTGTGAGCTACTTGCCACTGTAATCAATGTCCAGTCTAGCCAGCCACTAGCGGTTACTCTAAAGCTGCCTTGCAATAGCAGTTGGCTTCCTCTAGTCTGCCTTTGCCTTTGTGTTTTTATAACCTTCCATCATCTCCCTTCTTGTCCCAAGTCATGGGAAGTTAGCTATGTGCTGAGGCAACATGCTTGTGGGGACCCAGGCAGCTCTGGCATCCTTCACAGACTCTAAGGATGCACACAGGGAAAAGGGGACCAACTGTTCAATGGAGAGCTAGATTTGGGAGTCAGACCAGGGATGTTTATTCCTGTAACAGGAGATGATAGGGCTTTTATCTGGACTGGGAGCAGGATGTGACCGCTGCCCCATGGACTCTCTGTATCCCTGGCACTGGTGAGGGGCAGGTACATCCCAGAGGCAGCCCACTGATTCCCATGTACAAACACATGCAGAGTGGGAGTGAGAGATGAATCAGGCGAGCTGAGTGTGCTGGGATACTAAGTGATTTTAGGGGTAGCATTGGCATTATTCTGCCCAAGGACACAGGGTCATTATACAAGCAACTCTCTGGATCAGTTTTGGGTTGTAGCAGTCTAACATCCCGAGCTCTTTTTAAGCAGATGATTTGTGGAATACACATGTTAAACCATCGCATTGACTCACTGACATCTTAACGACTAGAGTGTTTAGCCTGGGACAGGGAGGAATGGGTGCTGTGAGCCACTCTGTGCCACTGAGAGCACACTGCTACTGCTCAAGGCAACAAAGAGGGCAGGCCAGAGGGAGCTAGGGAGACATGGCTCATGAAACGCAAAACCCTCAAGCTGCAGAAGCTGGGTGGAACTGCAGAGCCTGCAAGCTGCGAGAAGGGCCGCCCTCGGCACGCGCCTGCAGCGTTAACAGCCGTGCAAAAGCAAAGCTCTCAGTTAAAATCTGTGAGTGACTCTAGAAATACCTGTTTACAAGGAGTTAAAAAGTTTCATCTATTATGACAGCCTGGTAAGCCTGAGTGTATTAAGTGCTTGTTTTCCCTTTCAAATTATGTCAAGAACTGCTCTGAAGTGCAGCTGCTAGTTATTAATGTGCTTAAAATTAGCAAAATTATGAGTAAATGGAAGTCAACAAATACTGCAAGATATTAAATGTTCAGTTCTATTTAAACTTGTTCTCACCAAGGGGAAGTAGGAGGAACAGATAATTCCGTATGTCACTCACAACCCTTCTGCCCTTTCAACACTGGGGCCCAAATCTCCATGTGGAGAAGAAGTCATTCCTTCCCACCTCCCAAACCCATGTCAGCAGGAGTCACCAAACAAGGCATGGATTGCTCAGGTTAGGACACGAAGTCACCACAATTGCTGCCTGATTTCAAGAGAGCAGGAGGAAGTGACTGGACAAGGCAGCCCATTCCTACCCTTCCTCTCCACAGCCCCCCAGGGGCCCAAGACGGGGCCTTAATCGGGGCCTTAATCCTGGGCCTTCTCAGCTGGACAGTGACCGTGTGGTTGGCAGGTTTCCAGGCTACGAGCCTCTGGCCAGACAGGGCTGCCTCTGACAGGACACATGCAGGGAAGACTTCACAGAGGGTTTACTTTTATTATTGCAAAGGCAGGATAAAAAGGGCGAGGAAACCAGTGGGCAGAAGATTGTAGTTGCAATGGAATTCGGGGAGAGTGGCCCTGATATAGAACAAGAGGAAAAAATGGTTAGGGCATATTGGGACACTTGCAGGAGATTTTTTCTAGAGTCTGATGATAACAAGTGGTCCTTTCTTGGGTCAACTTTGGTTGATCGGGTGCGACTTCCTAGGACAAAGGGGAACCAGATTTAAGCTGTAGGTGGAAGGGGGAGGGGACAGGGAAGGCTGGCATGACCTGTGAGCGACATTTGCCAAGGCCAGGAGGAGAGGAGGAGACGGCACTGCTGAGCTGTGAGTGAGACGGGGACAGGGAGCTCTGCGTGGGCTGAGCTAAAAAATAAGGCAGGGCAAGCATACGACTGAAGGAAAACATTGTTCCAGAAAAGCAGCAGAAGGAAAAGAAACGTGGGCATGAAGGGACACAAGACACAGAAATCCTGCAGCAGATTTGCAGGAGGAAAAGACTGGATTTAAATCCAGAGTTCCAGAACATGGCCCTTCCTGAACACAGTACCTCGTTAGGTCATAGAGCAAACAAGGCACCTATGAACCAAAGGGGAGGACATGGGGGTACCCCACTATCGGTGTGCCTTTTCCTTAAATGCTACTCGCTGGGTCAATGAACGAGTCAACAAATGATGGTTGACAGCACAGGCAAGGTCCTTACAGCCTGGAAAAGACAGAGCCATGGCAAGTCTGGGTTCTGAAGGGGGCTGCAGGAAGATCACAGCTCTAAGAAGCAATTCACTCTGTCAGCCATATGTGCTTAATCCAAATGGATGGACGGTTAATAAGAATACCAACTCCTATGGCTGGGTGCAGTGGCTCCACTCCTATAATCCTAGCATTCTGGGAGGCCTAGGAGGGTGGACTGCCTGACCTCAGGAGTTCAAGACCAGCCTAAGCAAGCGTGAGATCCTGTCTCTGCTAAAAATAGAAAAACTAGCCAGGTGTCACAGTGGACACGTGTAGTTTCAGCTACTTGGGACGCTGAGTTGCTTGAGCCCAAGAGTTGGAGGTTGCTGTGAGCTGTGATACCACAGCTCTCTACCCAGGGCAACAGAGTGAGAGACTTTGTCTTAAAAAACAAAACAAAAAAACCCCCAAACCCAATTCCTAGACTATCCTTTGGAAATTCAAATTTAGGGGTTGTTGGGTGAAGTGTGAGATTTAATAGGCGTCCCAGGCCACTCTGTGGTCCGGGATCACAGAGAGGGTGAGCCACGCCTTCCTCTAGTGACCATCCATTCTCTGAGCGTGGGATTGGCAGGTGTGTGTGAGGGGGGCGTGGCCATCGCCAGCAGAGCTGCCGGCTGCAGCTAAGAGGGCCCTTACCATGCAGCGACTTCATCCCGAGCGTGTAGGAAGGCCTGCGCAGCGGCAGAGACTTGGGGAGAGACGGGTAGGTGCTGCTGAAGAGCACGTCGTTGGGCAGCGCCTGGTCCAGGAGCGAAGCCCTGGAGGGGAAGAAGTGCTCCCGCTGGCTGCTGTATATGCTCTCGTCTGACAGCGTTCTGTGCAGGGCCCGTCGGGAGGTGGGGGTGGTGGGAAAAGGGGTCTGGGGAGAGGACAGCGCGTGGAACTGGAAAACATCGGGAGACAAGAGAAAATTAATTTTCTGCTTCAGACACCTGAGACCAAGTCCCTGCTCCAGCTGTGCCCCCTCAGGCCCTAGAGTCCCAGCAGGGAATGGTCAGACCCACCAGCTACTTCTGCAGCTGCAGAGAGCTGACCCGGGAGGCCCAGTTGTTATTTCCCTGAAGTCCAGCCCGCTGCCCACTGCCCCGTACTCAGATAAGTGATGGAGGGGATTTATCAGTATCATGTTGTGCTTAAGAATAGACTTTAGGGTCAGACCAATGTCAGTTCTATTTGAATCCTGCATTTCCCACCAAATCACAGGGTTTCTGAGCCTAATTCCTTGTCCACAGAAGGGGGACAACACCTCTCAGGGGTATTGTGAGGATTAAGTGAGATGCTGGACTGATTACTGGGGGTGTCAGAGGCCTGATGAAATAATGTCACAGCCCAGGGCAACACCTGCAGAAGCCTGCCAGATAATAATAATGTGTTTGTGGGGCAACAAGAGCATGTAATCATTAAAATATAGTAACTCAGATAATAGGTGGCTCCCAATAAACAGCAACTACTCAGTCACACCAACTGAACCTCGAGGCTACGTCACGAGTTTTGGAGAGAATTTATTTTATAGGTGCATTTCTATCCATGAAATAGTAACAGAGAAGTCAGCTTTATAAAGAACAAATATTTACACATTTATCTGTAAATTACAAATAGTTCCAGATGTATCTCTTATCTCTTGCTGATGTCTTTTGCCTTTGTGACCCAGTTTGATTTTACTTGAGATTTTTCTGCCAATTGCGAGCTTCTGAGAAGCCCTTTCATTGAGAAACAACACACATGCGAACAATATTTAAATGTCCAGCTCCCGGGAAGCCCTTTAACAATAAAGAACTTCATAACACACTCCACAGAACCTGGGGTCATGGTGATGAGAGACACAAATCTTGTAGCCTCTCTATGAACAAATTCCCTACATAAGAAGAAGAAAAAAATTATAAAATGTATGTGGTGGGTTTAAAGGTGATCACTGTATAATTCTTTAAACTGTATGTTTGAAAAATTGCCTAATATTGGAAAATTAAAAAGAAAACAATAAAGAATTGAGGCCACGTTCATTGTGATGGGGGCACGAGGTGGGGGCGTGAGGAGGAGGGCTGAGTCACTGCTGGTGGAAAAGCCACTCTGAGCCTTCCCATGACACTTTGAAGGGGCAGAGAGAGAATGATTTTGCAATAGCTCCATTTGGTTGGTTGATTGCAGACCCCAAAACACAGAGCTGGTGCTCTGGGCCCTTCTTGTGCGCTGGGGCCTAGCCTGCTTCTGTGTAACAAGTCAAGGGTTAATCAAGTCCACGCTGCCCCCAGCTGTGGTGTGCGCAGCTGCTACATTCAAAGGAAACAATTATTAGTGGAACACATTGAGAAGGTGTCCCAGGGGCAACCAATTAAGTAAAAATTGTGTTCACTTTTAAAAGTTCATGACGAGTTAAATCCAAGGTATGTATCCGTGAACTTGTCTAGAAAGCTAAGCTGCTACAGTAAATACTTTTCAAGGGAAAACCTGGCGAGGAAAGTAATGCTTTTTCATCCTATTCTGTGGAGAACAGTAGGTATTAGGTGGTTAAATAGCTTGCTAAGCATTGTTAAAACAACAACTAGTTCACCTCTCCTCTGTCTGCAAGGTTCTAGGACTATCCTATCTGCCTACTGGGCCATCTCAGATCTCCGTCTTCAGGAACTGCTCCTCAATCTTTTTAGCACCTCTATTTTTAGCAAAGGCATTTCCTTTTCCGGTTAAGCACATCCTCCCTGATGGTTTTTATAGGTGAGAGATTCTCTATCAATTCTAGTTTCAGCCTCTTTGGGAATTATTAATATACACTCTACCTTGTAGAGACCCTTTGAGCATGTGCTTTATTAAAAGTCACAATATCCACCAGGCACGGTGGCTCACGCTTGTAATCCCAGCACTCTGGGAGGTTGAGGTAGGTGGACTGCTGGAGCTCAAGAGTTTGAGACCAGTCTGAGGAAGAGCGAGACCCCATCTCTATTAAAAATAGAAAAACTAGCCAGTGGGGGTTGTGGCAGGAACGCGTAGTCCTAGCTACTTGGGAGGCTGAGGCAAGAGGATCACTTGAGCCCAAGAGACTGCGGTCACTGTGACCTATGATGCCACAGCACTCTACCCAGGGAAGGAAGTAAGACTGTCTCTAAATACATATATACATACGTACGTACGTACATACGTACATCAAAACATCTCGCACTAAAGGGAGGCAGGGAAAGAAGCAGAGGGAAGCAACCCGCCAGGACGCTCTCTGCCATTAACAGGTAGTCTTGTCTGAAAGTGCTGGGTCGGCCCCTCACCCCATCCGTCTGTGCAAACCTACCTGCTTCCTGAGGGTGCCCCATACCTTCCTTGCAGGTACAGCCGGCCCCTGAGTGACAGTCCCAGAGGAGTGGAATGGCAGGCCTGGAAGGGATTTCACAGTGTGCTTGGGAAGGAGTATGGTTCTAAACTTGCTCCGAGAGTGCTTAGGGGTCCTTACCGCACCTCCACTGGGAGGAGTAGTTTAGGTGGGCCCTGGCCCTCCCATTCTGCTTTCTCAGTTGTACATATTGGGCTTCCATGTGTGGTCCTATTTGTTTTTTTATTTTTTGAGGCTGAGTCCCACCCTGTCATCCTAGGGAGAGTGCTGTGGAGCAGCTCACAGTGAACTGCATTGCTTGTGTTCTAGTGATCCTCCCGCCTCAGCCTCCTGAGTAGCTGGGTCTACAAGTGCCGTCACAACACCCGGCTAGATTTTCTATTTTTCGTGGAGACAGTGTCTCGTTCTTGCTCAGGCTGGTCTCGAATCCTGGGCTCAGGCAATCCATTCCCCCTAGTCTCCAGGAGTGTGTGAGCCACACACTTGGCCTTTATTGTTTTTGTACCTGAGCTTTAAACACTTGGGCACCACTGATCTACTCTTGTCCTCTATTTCACAGCCAGGAAACAGCCTGGGGAGATGGCATCTTGCTTCATATGGGTGTCCTGTCCTCATCCTCTTTCCATTGCTCCCGGCCACTGAGGACAGGTGTCATCCACAATCACAATAAGCTGCTCCTGAGCACCAATCCACGTGCAGGCTCTTCCTTGGCTTGCACCCGAGAGCCCTGGCTGGAAAGCAGGACTAACAAACAGTCTGCGCCACTGTCTGTTCACTCGCCAGACTGTCGCTGCCCTTGGGGGAAATAAGGTTATTCCATCTCTGATTGCCTGTGAGGTTTCCTAGAATGTCATAGCTCCACCATTGTTCTTGAGGCAGGAGCTCCATGGCAGCTGCTGGGGCCTTGGCACCACCCACCTACAGCGTGCCTGGCAGCCCTACCACCTCTGCCAGCACATGCCTTGCTCTGTTGGCAAACAAGCCTGGGAGTGACCCTGCCATTTAGTATTAACCACAGCTCGGTGGCAGCACTGGCTCCCCAGGAAAGCCACTGTGTCCTGTGAGCGGGCTCCTATGCTGACAACCCCAAGCTGGCCAGGCCTAGGACCCTGATGCAGTGGCTTGGAACCTTGAGCCAAAAGTAGCCTGGAGGACCTCTTGAGGGCATGCTCCCTCAGTGACACAGCATAGCCATGGCCACTCAGATAATGCCCCTCAGAGGATACACGGAGCTACTTAGTGGAATCATCTGTAACCAGACTAGCCCTAGGGGGATGAAACTGGAGAGAGAAAAAGAGTTCCTGCTTCCAGCCTTCTCAATGTCACGGTTTAGCCCACAGTAGCACTTTCTTTGCAGAGGGTCTCATGTTTACTTGGTGTTACTTTACACAAAGTAAAGAAAGTTTCAAATAGGAATACTAAAGGAATTCACTTGGGAAATAAAAGCCAAGACCTGGAATAAGGGCACAACAGACATTTGCCTTCAATTATTTCCACCACATGAGTGAGTCAAAAGAATGATGCCCTTTGCCAAAAATGTTCAAGTAGGAATTGGAGAAAAGATTCCTTTTCAGGGCAGGTTTTATTTTCCTCTAACCTCAAAGGAAAAATCTAAAATATTTTTTATTTTGAAACAGGCACTTAATTTTAATATATCTCTTTGGATTTTAATGGATAAAGAAAGGAGTTTCAAGCACTATCTTTTGCAAGGTTGCCAAGGAAACCACTTGTACCCTGAATGATGAGTCAGAACAGTGAAGTGCGGGCTTATGAAACTGAAATTACAGGAATCAGGAATGGCTACATATAGAAAATGATTTATTCACGTAACAAATCGTGTTAATAAATCATTTATTTCTAGGTTCAACTCCAGAGTGGTCTCTGAGCTACATCTGGTTCCTGTAAATGGTGATTTTTAAGTTTAAGAGGTATTATATTCCTGACCTATATGGAGGAAACACACACGCACCCACTAGCATGTGGTCAGGGCGGTCTGCAGGCAACGCCCCGCACGGCTGCTCCAGCTGCCGCTCGTCCCCTCGTCGCAGTTTGGTCGCAGTTTGAAGACCATAAGTGGTTAAGCAAATATTCTAGCTTCCATTTGTAATCAGTTCTCAAAGTTCTTCCTAAAGCTTTCTAGTCACTTCACACAGACTGCAAATCATCCAACTGCCCAGAGGATAGAAAACTTCAGAGTTGGCGGCCACAGCTTTCCTAGGGGTGCACCCCTTCCCCTGGGGCTGCTCAGTACACTTCACAGTGCTTTATAGGCAGAACGACCACCTTTAGGTCCAGCTCAATCCCCAGAGGTGTCGAGACCACACACGTTAGAACCCGAGGGAGTACAGAGCCTTAAGTGAGCTCCCAGCTTCTCCAGGCTGAGGAGAGCACAGCAAACCTTTTCTTGTGGTGACACATAGGTCTGGCCACCGCTACACTAACATAAAATGAACTAGCATTCAGATAGGGTGGGAGGAGAGACTGGGTTTTAGAGAAAGCCTTTACAGTCTGGAATTCCGAGAAAGGAGTGTAGAGAGAAGGCTTTACAAAGTAGAGCCCTGAAGTTCTGAAGGTGTGAGTGGAGACCGACAGTGCTGGCTGAAGCTGTCTGTTTACTCTTGGAGGGGCAGCTGCCAAGAGTGGATGTCCAGCAGGCAGAGGCGGTCCTGGGAGTGAGGACTGCGTATGGCCAGTTTGTGTGCTGGCTGGTCAGGGAGCAGAGGCAAGGCCAGAGTGCAGAGTACTGTGGGCACATGGGGCAGGAAGCAAATGGCATTTGTGAGAGAGGGGGGAGCCTTTGGGCAGGAGACACTGAAGTGCTGTCCTAGCTGACAAGGCAGCCACAGGCATGTGCAGAGGTTCTGAGCATCAATACCATGAAGGTGATGGTCAAGGCGTCATGTGCTGTGAGTGACATACACTGGAAGAAGAAACACTTGCACGGTAGGGACAGGTTGAGACAAACCAAGGCTAACGAGGTGTGGCTGCTGGGACTGAGCATTTAAAACCTCGTGTTCTACTTACTGGGACAAGTGGATGACGGCAGCACGCGGGAGCCAGCGAGGAGGAGCTGGCCGGCAACACTCTGGAAGGGGCGACTACAGCAAACAGCCCTCGGGGTTGGCTTCTGAGCACTCTCCACCCCAAGCTCTGTCCCATACCTTAAAATTCTTCTGTGATTCAGGAGTTGGGCTTTCAAAGTCGATCAGTTTCTTTAGATCTTCCTCAATGGTGGACTTGGAGGTTGGCTTAGGCGAGGCCCGGAGGTCCCTGGTGGAGGCACGCAGCCTTGTGTGGGCTATTTCATTGCCATCACTCTGATGACGCCTTGAAAGAAAGGGAAGAGATGGTAGGAACCAAGTTGATAAGGTTGGCTCAAGGACACGGTGCGCTCTGAAGGATGTAGGTCAGCAGAGCAATGTTTAAGGAGAGAAAAAGAGAATTATTCTGTTTAATCACATCAGAACCGACTTAGGTAAATGCTTGTTAAGGAACAACCAATCTGAAACACAAAATAAAACCTGGCGAACAGATGACTCTTACAGAAAACTACTAATTCTACTAAGCCAAAATTAGCAATAGACTTAAATGAAAGAACACAGGTATGAATCCTGAATGCAACTTTTGCACAGATAACAACAAAATAAATGCACGAATCACTTAATTTTTTTGCTGTACTCTTTTGTCAAAGTCTTACTGGCAATGTACCCACTCACTTCCTAATATTCCCTCTGGTGCCTCCTGGCTCAGTTCAGATGAATTACCCGGGATTAATATAATCAAAGAGATTAGTGTGGTCTTAGTACCAGAGGCTTAATTATTCTGAAATGTGTCCTTTAAACACACTCTTTTCCAGGAGATCTGAGATTCTCAAACCCAAATGTTTTGCAGTACATCTTATTTAAGGAAGAGGCAGAGAATTAATTTAGGGGGAAACCCCCCCCCCCAAACCAATCCCCTCTACCAAACCAATCCTCCCCACCTCTTAGCCTGGCCTCCTTTAATCTAAGAAACTGCCCCAACCTTTTCTGATCTCTGTCATGTTAAAAGCAAGTCACCCACCAAGAGAAGCAAAAGAACTCTTACTTTCTTGTGTCCATGAATCCCACGGAGTTTATTGTTCCTTCTGGTTTTTTCCATCCAATTAGGTATTTGCTAGTAGCGCCCTGGCGAGGGTAGAAAGTCCTGGGCCCAGAGGAAGAGGAGGAGGAGGAGGAGAAGGACGGTGCGAGCTGTGAGGAAGCGGCAGGGTGAAGTTCTTCTTTGGGTGAACTTCGGGCACTGGTGAAAACCACTGGGCTGGCAGAGTGTCGGGAGCTCATGGTACTGTGGAGGAGTAGGATGAAGACACAATGACTTCCCTGTGCACAGTGCACCTCAGGGTCACGACGCCCACTGTAAAGTGGCGTCGGGTACAGGTGACGGCTGGGTTAAACAGCAATGAATTTCTCATAAAATGTTAATGCGTATGAATGGCTGGCCTTCCTTACTATCTCGCTATAATTTAAATGTCTGTTGTCAAGTGACAGATGGTCACTAGGGCTGAGTCTGCACTTTGAGTTAAAAAGTAAAAACAGTTGAGATCATCAGGGACACCTTCAAACATACTGGTGCACTGACGTTTGTCACAGAAAAGTCGAGAAGCAGAAAGATACAGGAGAAAGAGCAGTCTCGATGGCTGTCTGTCTAGCCTTCCTCAGAACCAGGGCCATGGCCACGCTCTCCAGGCCCAAACCGAGGAAGGGAGAGGAGCCTGAGTCAGGAACACACCTCCTAGACTCCCATTTCCAAGGCCAAGTGTGCACAGTGAGTGTTCCCTCCCCATGGCATCTGGGACTAACATTGGCTCTAAAAAGTTGTTCATTGGTGCATTTCAAATGTTGTTAAAGATTACAAAACTAAGTCCAGGAGACTTAAAGAAGTCTAAAATGCAGGGGTTTCTAAAGTGGTCTGAAATAGAAAAAGGCACAATTTTCAAAAATGGGGATGGGAGTTTTATTTGACTACAAAGGTAAGGGGCCTTTAACTGTGGGATCTCCACACTTGCTGCCAAGTGGTCTCACAGGACCTGCGTTCACACTGCTTGAGCCTCGCCGAGCTCTCCAGCTTGAGATGAGACCAAAGATGGTTGACTCTCACTACCACGCACTTTCTGTTACTGGAGTTTTAGTTAACTGTGCATGGTTCCAAAGCCTTTCTCAAAAGCACTTTCATTTGCCAAAACCCAAAGGTCCTGACCTGAATAAAGTATCACCTGTAGTTAATAATAACTCATCACTATTGATTCTTTAGCCATCGCGAATGTACTGCAGTGACATGAGCTGACGATAACAGGAGAAACTGGGCAAGGGATATGTGGGAATTCTCTGCACTGTCTTTGTAACTTTTCTGTAAATCTGAAACTATTTTCATATTAAAAAGTCCTGAGATAATATATAATAGTGAAAATGAATTGTGACACCCCTACCTGAATCTCTCCATAACAATAAATTCCAGCTGGATTATATATTTAAAGGTAGACCTAAAAGTCCTGGCTGGGCATGGTGGCTAATGCCTGTAATCCTAGCACTCTGGGAGGCTAAGAGGGGTGGATCACCTAAGCTCGGGAGTCTAAGCAAAGCAAGACCTTGTCTTTACAAGTAGAAAAACTAGCTGGGTGTTGTGGTGGGTGCCTGTAGTTCCATCTATTTGGGAGGCTAAGACAAGAGGATTGCTTGAGCCCAAGAGTTTGAGGCTGCTGTGAACTATGATGCCATAGCATTCTACCCAGGTTGACAGAATAAGACTTAAAAAAGAAAAAAATACAAAAATTAGCCAGGTGTGGTGGCACATGCCTGTAGTCCCAGCTGCTCAGAAGGCTGAGGCAGGAGATCTCTTGAGCCCCAGAGTTTGAGGCTGCAGTGAGCTATGATGACATTATTGCACTCTAGCCTAGGTGACAGAATGAGACCCTATCTCAGGAAAAAAAATCCTGGACTCTATAACATCTTTATGATGGAGGCGGAGGACTCTTTAATAGGATCAAAAAGGAAAGGACTGAACTGCATTAAAATTGAGAACTTCTATTCATCAGAAGACACGAAGCAGGAGAATATGTGCAAAACACACATCCAACAGTAGGCCCCAATCCAGAACGCAGAGCTGACTCCTAGACGTCAACAAGACAGACAGCCCAAAATAAAAACGGGTATAGATTTCAAAAGGTATTTCACAAGAGGGTACCTAAAAGACCAGTAATCATAGGCACTCAACATCATCAGATACCAGACAAATGAAAATTAAAATCATAATGAGGGCCCATTCCACACTCGGCAGAATGGCTAAATTAGACAGAATTTCAAGCGCCAGAAAGGATGGGAAGTGAGTGGAACTCTGATGCTCTGCTGTTTCGAGTGCTACTTGTTACAACCACTTTGGAAAACCAGTAAAGCTGAATACTTGTCTGTCACATGACATGGGTATTTTATTCCTAGAAACTCAAAAGAAGGGAATACCTCTGTGTTCCAAAGGACACATACAAGAATTCGTAATATCCCCAACTGGAAACAATCCAAATGTTCGATCAAATGTTCCTGAGCAGGAGAGTGGGTAAATGGGTTTGGTGCGTTCTCACGGTGTAAACACAGTACAGCAATGCAAATAAACTGGTGCTGCCTGCAACACCCGAATAAATCTCACCAACATAAGGTTGGCATCAGGCACAAAATAATATACATGGTATGGTTCCATCTTTGGAATGTCCAGAAATAGGTAAAATGAGTCAAAGGTTTCAGGGTTCAGGATTGTATTCACCTTGGGGAGGAGGTGCGTGTGCTGGGGAAGGAATGGGGGGAGGGAGTGGTGTTGGGATCTGGGCAATGATTCACATGGGTGTGACAATGTATCTGGATATACACTTATGGCCTGTGCCTTTTTCTGTATGCATGTATCTGTCAATAAAAACATACCTACAAGGACAGCAAAGGTAAATGACCAGAAAGAAGTCTCTGTCGGTGAGACTGCCGGTGGGGTGGGGCAGGGTCTTGGTGGGGTAAGACTGAGACAGAGCTAAGATGACTTGGAGGGTTTTCCAACTCATGGGCCCCAGTACAACCATCTACATTATTTCTGTAAGAGGGAGGAACTAGGCTCAAACCTTGCAAAAACCCCAATCATATAAAAATGACTACTCTTACTCTAATCCCTCTAACAATTTTTCCCCCGAAAAAATTTTCCAGTTAGAGGAAGAAATAAGCCCTCCCCCACAAAACCTCAAAGGGCAGCATCAATTTAAGAGCAATGCACACTTAGCTTCTGATAACAAACATCTCATGTAGTTGCTTCTAAAATTGAGAAAAAGGAATGCAAAATTTTTCTGTAAACGTAGGATGTTAAATCAGTAAGAACAAAACCTTATTACCTCTGTGTTACGGAAAGGTGAAGGGAAGAAAGAAGGAAGTGAGGAATGGCACAAACAGAGGTAGTGGAGCTGGTTAGAGACCCTGGTTAACAGCCACGTGTATTAACACTGGGATGTTCTACAGAAAGGGGCTTCTGAAATGTCACAGGACGGGGGCCCTTGGCACAGTTCACACAATACGGTGGGCTGTGGCCACTTGTTAGTTACTCAGGGCTAAGATCTATATCTTTGGTTTGCAGATTCTTTTTCACCAGACTCTATCTTCCTCATACACACTTATAACAGAGATGTGAGGTCCTAAGCCTCCACCCTGGTTAATGTCTGAAGCAGATTCCAATATAACAAACACTGCCTTACATCTCTGGTCTAGGGTTCTGGGTGCTTGCTTTAACTGCCTTCATTAGTATCCACACTTGAGTGTGGGTGTTTGAACTGCTAGTGCTGGTTCTCAGACTTCAGCATGCTAAAATACAGATTGCCGGGCCCGTCCCCTTCCTGAGACTGATTCAGCAGGTGAGATGGGGGTTGGCGAGAGCATAAGAATTTGCACTCTTAACACTCTCCCAGAAAATACTGCGGTCTGTGACTTACACTTAGAAAACCACTGTGCCAGAGGTACACTTGAATTGCTGTAACATTCATCAGCATCAAGTATCCTGGTATGATTAACACTGGCATTCCAAACGCAGGAGCTTTCAAAGACTAACGCTTCAGCAAAATAGAAATAATTTAGCCAAGAGACTAGAAAGTAAACTATGTCGTCATTAATTCACAAATCATTCCTCTACGTTGTATGAAACAGCCCTGCTGGTTTTAGCTGTAATGGATGTAACTCCACGAGAGGGAAGTTTGAAGAACAGGTTCTGAGATGGCCAAGGTGAGAGCAACACACACAGAATATACATCTGGGGAGCTCTTCCCTTTCTGTATAATTTAATCATTGCCATTATTTCTCTGAGAAGCCTTCAGTAAACTGTACTAGATTAAAAGCTCTTTGAAGGCAGGTTTTTTTTTTTCTTCTGTGTATCTAACAATGCTAGGAGCACAGCAGACTCCCACTAAAATGCCTGTCAAACAAACCGTTTCTCCTTAGCATTCGTCCCTGTGTGGGACACTATACATCGAATTTCTTCACCTTGTTTATCGTCTGCCTCCCGTTTAAACGTAAGCTCCATGAGGGCTGAGACTTTTGACTTTATTCACTTTGTTATTATATTCCCCATGCCTAAAACAGACCCTGGCAATTGTAGAAAACTCAGTATTTGATGACAGAAATTGTCAAATAAAGATAAATTATCCATTTTAAATGGAAGGGGGAAGTAGAGATGATGATGGTGAATTTTATTCATATTGCATTCGAAACCAGATGATGCTTTATTTTTACTGCAAGAAATAATTAAATCTGCAAATGATGCTTCTGTTTACAAGTGTATCCTTAAAAGGATAATTGCTTAAATAAGACCACTGACCCTGATTATTGGTTTCATCTGTGAACAAGATGGGCTGATACTAGTTCCCAGGTGTAAAATGCCAGCGTACTTTTGTTCACTAATAGTTATAATCAAGAGAGCCCTACTTAACAATTGATTAGATTTAGGAACAAGGGTACAAGCAGAAACAAATGAGTAATTCACCGGTGTGTCTTCCTTCCTTAACGTACAGAATTGACCTCATGGGGCATGGTGAGCACTTCAGTGCACTTCACCTTGAATTCTGTGGGCATCCGACCATCACCTGGGAGTTCTTCTAAACCATCCTTTCCTGCATCTTAATCCTAGATCTTCTCATTTAATAGAGCTGGGGTGATGCCTGGGAGATTTGCCAAAACCACACCAATTGAGACTTACTGCTGAAACCCAGTGGAATTATTCACATTGTTATGACTTGGTCAAAATCCAATTTCATATTGTCTGAGAAGGTGAAGCCA